CAGTGGGGAAAAACGCGTCGGGGGTATGAAATTTACCTCGATCGGCGGTCGGAAATTTCCCCGGTGCGGCGGCGAGTGGCGGCGAGTGGCGGCGGTCGGCCTCTGGTTCGTCTTCTCCGGCGAGCGGCTGGCGGCTAGGGTTTTTGGTCTGGTGTGGGGGTTCTATTTATAACCCCTTGCCTTTTGATCACAGCCGTTCGTTTCGTTTTAATCTGGGCCGTTCGTTTTTTATTGAATCTGGGCCGTCCGTGCGTTTGAATCTGGGCCGTCCGATCGCGTGATTGATCTGGGCCGTCGGATCGCACCCACGCGGATCGCCAACGTGGCTCCTTTCGGAGTGACGCGATCTTGCCACGTGGCAGGCCCCGGTTGGCCGGGAATGCTGACCGGGCCTGCTGACGTGGCTGCTGACGTGGCCCCCCCCTTTTTTTTTTTTTTTTTTTTTTTTTTTTTTTTTTTTTTTTCCTCCTCCTTTCCGGGTGCTACAATTATAATATTATACTAGTTAATATTTTATTTAAATAAAATTTATGAATTCAAATATTACCTAAAATATAAATTTTTATAATAATATTATACAATATTTTTATATTTTATTTAAAATTTATAAATTTAAATATTATTGAAAATACAAATTTTTTTATTTTACAATTAGTAATAATTAAAATTTTAATTTATTAATATATTAATAAAATTGTATTGGTTTATCATATTTTTAGATAAAAAAATTATTATAAAAGGACACTTTTTTTTAATTAGACCCATTATGTTAATAATAATATAAAATTATTATATATATGTACATAAAATTATTTAATATATTTATTATATGTAAGCTAAATAAATATGAAATTATTTATCTTTTTTTTAAAAAAAAAGTTAAATTATTAAAAAAAGAAGTGATATACATTTTTTTAACCCATAAAGAAGTGATTACATTGAGATATATAATAAGATATGGATGGTGTATATATATATATATATATATATATAGTTGGACCACCCCATAAAGATAAAAAAGAAATAAAAGGGAAAATGTAAGGGCAAATTATGAGACAGTTGGTCAGCTATGGGACATATATGTATATGTATTACACTGCATTAAACAACTCCACGTCAGATCTTCAGAATTTTCTCCCCTTACTTAAATGCTCTTCTTCTTCTCCTTCCTCCTCTCCAGCTCTTAATTCAAAAACCCAAAGAAAAAAGAAGAACAGAGAGGAGAAGAGAGTGAAGGTCAAGTGTTTGATATTCTGCCTGAAACAAAATCTACAACTCTTGCAGAAACAACTTGTTTTCTCTTCAGTACCCGGACTTGAAGAGTAGAAATAACTTCAATAGCTCAAACAACAGACATGGGTGAGGTAATTTACTTGGCATTAATCTCTACTTTCTTATTTTTCAGTTTCAGATTCTTCCACTGTTTGGACCCTCTTTTTCTTTTGTTCCAAACTTGAATATACCCAGATCATTATCAGCTGATTAAACTAAGTTTGCTCCACAGTGTGTTTAGATTCTAATCTCTAATCGGTGGTGAATTTCTAAACTGAGTGTGTTTATTGTTGGGTTGGTAAAGGAGAAGAAAGAGGAGAAAAAGGAGGAGGAAAAGAAAGAAGAAGTAAAAGAAGAAAAGAAAGAAGAAGTGCCGCCAGAGATTGTTCTCAAGGTTGATATGCATTGTGAAGCTTGTGCGAGGAAAGTTGCAAGAGCCTTGAAAGGATTTGAAGGTTTCAATTTTGCTTAACCCCTCTTTTCTTTTATTAAAATTCAAAGCTTTAATCTCTTGCATCATTAGTTGATGAACATTTTTTATTTGTCTTGGAAACTGTGGGGGTCTGTAAACTGATTATTATAACCATATAGTTACCTATATAAAAAGATTATATATGAGGTGATGCCTTTGAAAAGCTAATGTTTATTCATATTCATATCTATTTTGGGGGGAAGGAAAAATGAATACTTTGTAATGAAACATGAATGAAGTCTTCAAACCTCAGTCCTCACCTACCATGAAAAGAATGGGATTTTGTTTAGTTGATTAATTAATTAAGATATGTATTAACTTGGCTTGTTTGATATTTAACAGGAGTTGAAGATGTAACTGCAGATAGCAAAGCTAGTAAAGTTGTGGTGAAAGGGAAAGCCGCAGACCCCATAAAGGTCTGTGAGAGGCTACAGAAGAAAAGTGGAATGAAAGTTGAGTTAATTTCACCATTGCCAAAGCCACCAGAGGAGCCCAAAGAAGAACCCAAAGAACCCAAAGAAGAAAGAAGGAAGAGGTAATTAATCAATTAATCATCCCTAAATACAGAGATTTTTTCAGTGTTATTAATGATTCTTAATCATGATTTTAGAGTTAAAAAAAGAACAAAGCTTGAGTCAGCACAGCACCCACCATCCAAAGAGTAATTATTAGGTGTCTTGACTATAAACGTTTTGAAACATTCTTGATTGGTTCATTTTAAATCTTCCTCAAAAAAGTTTTGGAACAAACCATAAAAACATATCAATTGCATTTATAATGTGTATTTGGTTTGACTAGAAAATAAGTGATAAAAATGTGAGCTTTGACATTGTTGTCTTATAATCTGGAAAAAAAAAAAAAACATTTTGCAGAGAGTTTCTAACTAATTTGTGCTCTCTGAAAAACACCATTTGTAAATTTTTCTACCAAAACCCACATTGAGTCTCAAATTTTGACCCACAAAAAGGTTTTGATATTGGTGTAGTAGGCTTTTGGTGATTAAAGGAAGACAGGTTATAAGATAGGCAAAACCTTAAAGAGTAAATGGACCCCAGAATTGCTTATACAGTGAATCTTGTGACTGCTGTTTCAATGCTGACATTGAAAGTAACAAAACAAAATAGCAGTAACCAATAGGGCACGTCTTACAAGGAGAGCAAAAGACACTGTTTAGGGCTTTGACCCCACTTCCCACAGCTTGATGTACTCAAATCTGCAATAATGGGGTCCAGCATTTTGGTACCCTGATCTAAATTTGCAAAGAATTCAAAAGAAAAGATAGAGAACATGAAAACCTTTTGTATTTATCGCTTGGATTTTATATACATATTGAAATGGATACCAGTTGAGAAAGACATTATCTTACCAATTGTGTTTTACTGCATGTAGTGTTACAGAAATGCTTCTCCTTGTGCATGAACAGATAAGATTCAGTGGAACTTACTGTAATTGAGCAAGTAGTACAAGGTTTAAGAAATTTAAACAGTGGGTTACAAAAAATTTGAAGTCTGTGTCACACAATCTTACACGTGTCTTAAGAACGGAAAAATCTATGATAATTTTGAATTGTTTCGTGGTAATTCAGTAAATTTCTAGTGATTGAAGTTACTGAATCATATTGAAACAATAAACTTTAGCTGGACACAGTGTCTTGTAGACACCAGAGTAGAACCTGTGTAGAAATTAGAACAGTCTGTCTTTGTTTCCATAGTTGTTAAAAGATAACATAAACTAACAAGAACAATGCCCAACCCAAGGACTGATAAGGAGTTGATAAGGACTTGGGCCAACAGATTAGATGAAAGCACAAAGTAGGGCAGCCTGTTCTATTTCCATTATTTGTCAACCCAACCCCCTGCCTTTCTTGGGTTTTGGGTCTGTTAGTTTCTTTTCTCAGTTTCTGCATATTCATCTAGATGGTAATAATGGACTTTGGTGAAATTATATGTCGTGTGTAGATGATATTTCTTGATTTTAATTACAAGATGATTACCATAATCAAGTTCATGACAAGTGATTATATAGATTTTTAGTTACTATTAGTGTTCTCTATTACCAGTACATTGATTAAATTTTTGTGGCAGCCTCCTGCTGTTGTAACAGTTGTGTTAAAGATTCGGATGCATTGCGAAGCATGTGCTCAAGTTTTGCAGAAGCGTATAAGAAAGATCAAAGGTATGCAAAGTATTATGTTATTAAATGAAATCACATTATTTAGATGTGATGAATCCCTATCTCAAACCCTAAAAAACTATGACTGAGGCCAGTACTATTAAGAGTTTTGTTCATCAATAATTTGGACTCGAGTAAGATAAAAATTATGCTTGAGTTTTGTTCGGCAGAATTTCTAGTGGTGTGTAAGTCTATTTCAGAGTTATGTATTATGTGAACCTAAGTCGAGCAAAAAATTCTATTTACATGTGAAAGCATGGTGTTCAAAATATAACATAAATGCTACAAGAGGTTATTTTATCTGTTTAAGCTTTTAAGAAAAATAATTCGATAACCAATAGAATGAAATCGGAGTTTACTTCAGGTGTAGAATCAGTGGAAACAGATCTGGGAAATGATCAAGTAATAGTGAAAGGAATAGTAGATCCTGCAAAGCTTGTTGATGATGTGTACAAGAAAACCAAGAAGCAAGCTTCCATAGTAAAAGATGAGGAGAAGAAGGAAGAGGAGAAGAAAGAAGAGAAGAAGGA